CATCAATGAACTCTTTTAATGTAGCCAATTCATTCTGCGATAAGCTATAGATTGGTCCAAATGGTGGTTGAGTTCCTTCTTATAGATCAATTGAACAATCATAAGGTCGATGCTCGGGGAGAATATCTACATTTTTCTTTTCAAAAATATCTTGAAATTCTTGATATTGGTTAGGAATACTACTTCACTTTGTTTCACCATTAGAAATGGGTGTAGCATATATAACAAAAGATGATCCTTCTTTTGCAGTATGCATGAAAGCTTTTGCACCTAGTAGTGAAGGTTTGGATGTATTGGACTTACGTACTTCTACTTTGCTAATGCAATCTTAGATTATACTATCAGAAAAGTTAAGATTAGGAGAAATCTAATCTATTTGAAGGTTATATTTTTCTAGTCATGATAATCCTAAAATAATCGGATTAGAGGGAGATTTTATTACATTAAATATTACTATGGTATTATGATCTTTAATTGTAATATCTAAAGGAATAGTTTCATAGATAACATTTCCAAAAGACAACGAACGACCATCTATGATTTCTACATGTACAGATTTAACTTTCTTCATGAAAGATATTTTTTGATTTTTGGCAAAATCTTCATCTATAAATCATGTTGAGGCTCTTGAATCTAACAAGGCAAAGACTTTGTGATTATTAGGTCCTAAATATACTTCTATTATAAAACAAGGTGAGGGGTCTGAGGAGAGGATAGGACCTTTACTAGGTGTTGCACATTATTCTAGCCGCACGGTCCCTATTATAGCTGAAAAAATTCATTTTTTAATACATTATCTGCTTTGGTAATTGTGCTCATTATTTTGTAATTGCATTGCTTCTTTGGATAATATTGAGCAGTGTATTTAGCTTCTCCATAATATAAACACAATCCCTCTTAGCAATGTCGAGTCTTTTCTTGCTTCGTGAGAGGTTTAAAATGTATCATATCAATTTGTATTAGTTTCAGCTTTGATAAATATGTTTCAGAAAACTTGGGAGTTTTCGCCATTATTTGACTTGTTCCTCTTCAACCAAATCTTTGTTCTTGACGCCTTTTAAATAAATGTTTTGTCACATGCAATGGCTTGAGTAATAAATTCTTCCAAAGATTTTACTTTCAGTATTCTTAATAATAAATCTTTGATGCTATCCTTCAATCCATATCGAAATTGGTTGATAAGTGTTTTATCATTTCAGTCCACATTGCAAGCAAGGTTTTGGAATTCGGTAGCACATGTAGTGGCTAATCGTGATTCTTGTCATAAGAATAAAAGCTTGGTCTCTGCTACTCATTCTCGATCACTTTCTTTAAATGTGGCCGTAAACTTTTCTAAGAATGAATTCAAATCATAAAAGAGTCGTGAATCTTTTTTCATTATAGGTACAAACTAAGAGAGAGCACTTTCTGATAGTAGTGCGATTATGAATCTGACTTAGATAAATCCATCAAGATATTGGAAAGGGTGCAACCTTAGATAGAGCTTGGCTTGTTGCAAAAATCCTCAAAATTTTGATCTTGTTCCATCAAAATTCTCAAGCATACTAATCCTTATTCCTGTCATACTTGTAGAAGCAAAACTCTGTCGATTTGGTTGTGATGTTGATCTACTTGCTTCTTTAACTACACAACTTCTTGCCATAGACTCTGAACTTCTTCCAAGACATAGGCATAGTACTTCCATGATTCACGTTGGAAATACGTGAGATTTCTATTCTTAGAGTATTGACAAGCTCATGAAGATCTACCATAGTTGCAAATCTAATTTCACTTCCTTTGAGAGTAGCATCCATAATCTTTCCTTCCATAGACAATTTAAACGAATTCAAAAGTTAAATTAGAAGAGGGTAATCCGCAACCTCTAAAAACAAATCCCACAAAGAGGGATAATCCACTCTCTTTAAGGAAAAGATTAGTGTTAGAAAATGAGATTTTTTTGTTTAAAGGTGGATAGTTCACAACCTTCAAAATACAACAATAGAAGTGGGATAATCCACTCACTCTTAAAAGAAGACAGAAACAATATGTTAGCATTCTTGTCAAATTGTCAAGGACATGAAACTCGAAAAAAGAGAATCCTCAATACACTCTTCTATCACTGAAGAGAACTAGAAAGTCACTCAAAAAGGTGATGTAATATTAACTAGAATGGCTATGGCCAAAAATAAGAAGATTAGAAAGTCTTGAAACAAGACTAAGACTAGAAAGACGTTGATAAGAGTGAAGAAGGCTTCACTCTTGCCTCCATATATACTATCTAATTAAGAGCTACATGGTGATGTCCTATAGGACCTCCAACATGTGTTGACTTTGCTAGCCACATGTCTTATATTGCAAGGCAAGTTATCTATATATATGCCACGTAGTTGGCTTGTTCTACAAGCTACTACACGGAGATAACTTGTTCCACAAGCTACCAATACATGGTTAGTTTTTTGGCCAAGTTTCTAACCTACAAATACATCTAAAGTCAAAACTGTATGTATGAAGCTTCTAGAAAGCTTCTCTAGAAGACTTTACGAAATTATTCTATTTTACCTACTTTTACTTAATCATATAAGTAACTATTGAAGTAAATATATATGTCCGTGACACCTGCTCTAGGACGATATTGTGATAATAAATCACAAAAGGCCTTGTATGGTCTAAAACAATCTGGATGTATGTGGTATCAACGTCTTAGAGATTATTTAATTATAAATAAGTTTGTAAGTGATCCACTAATCCCTTGTTTGTTTATCAAATGAGATAAAACTAGTTTTGTGATCATCATTGTATATGTTGATGATTTTAATCTAGTAGTTACTAGATCTACATGTATTACACTTACTAACCTACTTATATATAAATTTGAAATAAAAATGCTAGGAAAAATAACTTTCTGCATTGGTCTTTAGATTATGCATCTCAAAGATGGTAGCATTTTTCTCTATCAACTAACGTATATTAGACAAATCTTATGGAGATTCAATATGATTGATGTTTATACATTGTCCATATGAATGGTTGGACATGGTCATAATGGTCACAATCCATACCATCCGTGCAAAGAAAAAGAAGAAATATTAGGAGAGCAATATCCATATCTTGCAGTGATTGGAACACTTTTATATTTAGCCACATCTATTAGACGAGATATTGTATTTGCAATTAGTGTTCTTGCAAGACACAGTGCACATCCAACACTACAACATTGGAATGGCATCTAAAATTTACTATATTATTTAAAAGTTACTAAAGACTTGGAATTATATTACATACAATCTGTAAATCCAAAATTGGTTGGATATTGTGATGCAGGATATAAATCTAATACTACAACAGCTAAATCTCAAAAAAAATATGTATTTTTAAGACATGAAGCCGTAATACCATTGAAATCAGTGAAACAAACTATAACTACAACTTCATCCAACTATGCAAAAATTATTGCCTTACATGAGGCATCTTGAGAATGTATTTGGTTGTGATCAATTAATAAATTTATTCAAAGAACCTGTGGATTTTCATATAATGATTCTCCAACTATCTTATATAAAGATAATAGTGCTTGTGTTGCACAAATATAAATTAGTTTCATTAAAGGAGACAAGACAAAGCATATTGATCCAAAGTATTTTAGTTATATCCATGACTTGATTACTGATCTAGTACTTATAATTAAGAAAATTGAATCTGCAAATAACCTTATTGATCTCTTCATTAAAGCTCTCCTATTATGCAACCATTGTTGACTTACTTATGGCATTGGTATGTAGCAACTTGCTTTTCTTGAATAAGGAAGTTAATGAACTCTTTAAATAATTAGGAAAAATGATATTGTACTCTTTTTTCTTCATCTATGGTTTTGCCCTTGAATACAATAAGATTTTCTTAGATAAGGTTTTAATGAGGCAAAAATTGTTGATCTTGCGACATTACAAAAAAAATATAGATCATAATTCTATACAAATTTTATATTATGTAAATATTATGATGAGCAAGGAGGAGTGTTGAGAGCATTAAATGTAGCTAGCACTCTCCATAATATTTAATGTAGTCTACAATAAATTCTATAGCTACAATATTTGGAATGTAGTAGAGAGAAACTATTTATCCTCTCCCCTTCTCTTTTTGTATATGAGACACAACCAAATCAATAGATTTTGTGTGAAGCTCTCTCTCCTTATAAACTCTCTCTTGTGTGTATTACTTACTACTACTCTAGTGTCTTTCTAAACTTTCTCAACAGATACAATGACCTAAAATCTAGCTATTGTGAGCTATTATAGAGTTGTTGATGCTACCTTGGGGTATTGGGTTGAGGGCACCTCAAGATCCTGTTGATTCTAAGGATGTCTTATTTCTTGACATCAAAGGAAGCACTGCGTTGATAAGGTGAGCGCTCCTTATTGTTCTTCTTTGTGGTTCCGAAGGAGTGTCTCTGTCGCCCCCCTCCCTCAGAGCCACCGACTCCTCTACGTCCAATTCAATAGGATTAGCCGAGGAGTTTCTGACACGTCGTATTCCTTCTGGGAGGCTCTGTAAATAAGCCTGAAAACTCACATTGGAAGCGGATTCTAGCACCCACATCTCCTCTCCACACCCCTCTCTCGACAAAAAATGGTTGGAGCTACTCAACAACTTAGACAAGGGGTATCCGTCAACCACAGTTTCTTCTTCTCCCAAATCCAGTGTACCCTTGCAAGCCACCCCAACAGAGCCGCCTTCATCGATGTTTCCACTCTTTATTAACCAAACACCCTCTTTTGGGGCACAGACCTCCATCTCCTCCTTTTTGTCTAAAAATTTCTGTATTCTCCCAATCAGTATTTTAATTTCACTTAGCCATTCCCACCTGTAATTTTGCAATGAAAATTTGAATAACATAATGATTTTGATATAACTTAATATTTAATAGCGTCAAAGGAGTTCCAAAAGAATGATATAAAATCAATTCATTTAACAAGCAAAAGTGTCAGTTTCTTCACAACAAGTATTTGCACATTTATTTATATATATATATTATAGCTCATGAGAGAAAAATATACTGCACAAACAAGAGGAGATAAAAACCTTCTCCCATTGGCCGCATGCCTCATTGTTTTTATCAAAAAACTAAACCAAAAATGAACCAAAACTCAAACTGAGATGTTAACTGTTACGTTTCGGGATGTTGCAACATCAGATGCATTTTATATTCCGTGTGCAATGGTTGTAACAACCGGTCTAAATTGCTATTCGCATTGTGCTCATTGCATTGCACTGCGGCCGTGATCGTGGCCGCATCTGAGCGGTTCGATAAGGCGGGGCTGCTGGCCGCTCATCTAGCAGCTCTTCACAATGCCTTCACGCTGGAGCGGGGATTGTTGCCTGGCAGTCCGTTGCCTGATAGCGAGGCGCCTCCGATTACGCTGAGTCCAAATAGAAAGAACTCAAGTTGATGTCACTCGCTGAGATGAAAATTGGAAAGACGCATCGGAACATGCTCTGGAAGGGCTTCTGTGTGCGGTCTCTAGAAGTCACGTCTGTGGTTAGTGATCGTCTTTCTTGGATTGTAGTAAAAAATTACCCGCTTTTGCAGGTGATTGCGTCCGATGGAAACTTAAACCTATTCCTTGGGCTTTTCAGGTAAATATGCTGTAGGAAGACTCAGGCCTTGCAACAAAGCTAAACTTGACGAATGCGTTGCCAATGAGAGCCAGTATGGCGCAAGCTCAAAACTGCTACCCCGAAGATGCACAGGTAATGGTGAGAGATCCTTACCTCACTCGGTTTCCTGATGGAATGGTGGGAGTATTAGTTGAATGACATTGCCAAACATAGCCGATGAAGAGGTGTCCTTGGGACCATTGCTGATCAAGAATCTTGCTAATTCATAAAATCTTGCTGTTTATGCTTGAGCAGGATCAAGTCGATCTCTAAGTGACCAAAGTTTTTGTTCAATTGCCAAATGTATGCATTGAGCTTTTGCATCCCATGGAACAGGACGGCCCAGTTGCAGAATTTCTCAAGAACAATCTCAACGGTGACATCCATCACGTCTCATTTGCCGTATGGTCCTTCCCACCCTGTAGAACACATTTGTAATTTGTTCTCAACAATTCGCAAGTCTAACTTATCACCAATCTGTATTTCAGGTCGATAATATCAACTCAGCAACATGCTACATTGGTGAAGCAGGTGTGGGAATATTCCTATTGGCAACTCGAACATAGGAGCAAGTTACAAATCTGAGATGTTTCTGCAACCCAAAGACAACATGGAAGTCCTCGTCATGCTCTAGCAGATAACAAACCGCTCCCGCGCTCGCGTCTAAATAACTTCAGGCTTGGGCATGTAACCGTATTCTACTGTAGGAGATCGATGGAACAAGCATCTATGCTTCGCAGGCACAATTTGCAACATGGCCTAGCGGGTTTCAATTCACAATCGAATACTAGGTGATGGCTCGAGTCTGCCCGAACCTCCAGTAACTATTGCCGCAAACCAACCCTGTCAGTACCATTGCTATCAGAATCAAATTGCAAGGTAGACAGTAACTGAGGTTTCAAGTTCTGCTGTTGGTTAGGTGAATTTGCACAACAGGTATAAAAAAATTAATCTCAAACCGACGGAACCTCCAGTTCAGGTGCACAAGAAATACAGAATGTGAATATTGTGGATAGCTTCATTCAATCATACACGCCCGAAATAGCACCTTCAATTACAAAGGTTTATCCGGTAACAACTTTGTTAAAAATTCGAACCGAGTGCTGGTATCAGGACGCAATCTACACAAAGTTGATTTCTATCCTTTCCGTTGTAACACCTGAAACTGTTAAAATTAACCTTAGTACATACCTCTAAAAATGATGGTGCTAATCTTGAAATAAATGAATGACACCAGTGTTAGCAATGCTTTCAATCCAACTGTTTTACATTACATAATCTGTGAACAGTCATCCGGTGCAACTCGCTTCCAACAGAGCACAAATAAGAGAACGATAATAAAGAATTTTCAACAATTTTCCCCTCAAATTCTAGTCGAGTGGTTCGATCCTTAGTCAGAACTAGAAGCGGTGAATGCTTAGCTCTGGGTGCAATGCAAACGTTTCAAAGGGAAATGTAGAAGTTTACACTGCTTTAGATGTAGAGGGAAGAAGACTCTCGGTGTTGGGGTTCTCCGCACTTTCCATGTCGACTGGCCTCAAAGCGGGATGTAAGTATGCTACTCGTATATGTTCCAACAAGTCCTCTCTCAAGCCTTTCCGAGCATCTGCTTGATCTTTTTTTACTGTAGACTGCCACAAGCACAACAATGAAATTTAAACAATTCAGAAATCTTTCAATAAATCTCAAGCGTTTCACATCTAAAATAACAATCCCATCTCCCCGTGACCAAGCACCTTATTCTATAACTAAAAAAATTCTTAAATTTCTATTTGAGGGAAATTTGGCGCACGTACTCATCAAATAAAGTCTATTAGAAAAAATGTGTATGAGTCTACCTCCATGTTGAAGTGCCTAAAGGCGGGAAAGAACCGTTGTCGGCAATATTCGTTAAACATTAGTGTAAAGATAGGCAAAGGAACAACGAAGAATGATCCGTTTCCAAGGCCCTTGACTGTAAACACACCAATAAAGCAGATTTGCAGGAAAACTAGAAAAATAATAATCCGGACATGAACGTGTGGCCAGAACTGGCCTCCGGTCTCGTAAGCTGGTTCATAAACATGCAAAATCTGTAGAGAACAATCATTATCCTTGAGAATCACTGGCCACCACAAACCTACCCACAAAGTAACAAAAATTGTAGTCTTTCCTCAACAGACTAAGTGCCCATATATTAGAACGTGAAAGGTGATGACAGGAAAGGGCTATTAACAAATAGTACCTGATTACGAAAAACGATGTATCCTAATACAAAGTATACAAGAAGAAACGGCAGCAGCAAAGGTGTGATGATGGAATATGTAAGGCCCAAGAATACGAATAGAAGAACGTTCGGAACGCATCGGTAATATGGTAGTGACCAAACATCACTAAGAAGCGGCCTGGATCTGTCAACCATAATCCGTTTCACGTAGTTTAAAATGAGAACACTAGACTGGAGGATCTCGAGTGGGAACCCTGCCCACCCTGTTGTCATGATGTATGTCATGAAAAAATAAGCCTGCGTGTGGACAGACAACCGACGTTAAAACGAAAAATATATAAACATCACCAATGCAACTGAATTAAACCCAAACTTTGGCTTTTATGAAGACGAAAAATACTAAACATTAGGTGAAAGATACTCACTTTGCCTGGTATCACTTCGGCAAGTCGCCTAGGAATACTACGAGGATCGGAGGAGTACGTGTCCAAGATTTGGAAAATTGAAGTCCCCAGAATACTCACGACGAACACGTTAATCCACAAGAGATTAAAGACCATCCCAGCTGTTTTCCTCTCTTGACGGCTGATTGAAACATAGCCCGCAATCTTGGCTAAGCACATCATTACTAGTGGAAGACCATATAAAACTGCAACCGTCAGCAATGATGGAAGATATCCTTGTACCACCTGCTTCACCCCAGGACTGCCCCCAAGTAGATCTGTTATGATGTGAGTTTGTTCACTATGCTACAAAAGTTAAAACCTGTAAAACAATTCAACACGGCTAAAAAATCAACGCGTACAGTTATCAGAAGTCTCACATTTCGAACAAAATTTTGGCGATGGGATCGGGCAGATATTTCGTCAAACGGTCTATACTATCCAACAGTTGGATCACTCCTATCACAGGCGAAGTAAATAATATGATAAGAGTAGCTACAGCTACTGAAAAAATTCTACGTATGAACAGCTGTCCATGGCCAATCTTCAAGCTGTTCCAATCCACATCTCTTGGTTCCGGAGCCCATTCTGTAACCCAATACATCGGATTCACAGATTGCTGTGTCTGAGCAGCCACAACAGCTTCCCATCGTGTTCTAAATGAAACAAATGCCGCAGGTAATTCCTGGCAAGAATGTCAAGGTCAGTCGCACTTCTCAAGGGTGCAGAAAAACTCTAACAAACAGGGAAACGAAATAGCTCTACGGTACCAAATCTAACGACTTGGTCATTCTAAATACGCAAGAAAAGAATTTCTAACTGTAAGGAGTTCTGCGCATTGCGAGAAATGATATATAACCTAGCACTTATCAATCTGCATGCTGGGATTTCGAAAGGAAAATGCCAGACCTCCTTCCTGTTGTATATATATATTGATCTGCTGCTCACGAATCTGTCCAAAGAGTTCTTCCAACTTTTGAGTGTGATACTCAATACGGTCTTTCGTCGGTCCAAAAAGCCCAAGAAAGCCAGTTCGGCATGGCTTTCGTTCATCAAGAGGTTTGGACTTCAAATTAGCGAGTTTGTTTTTCTCATAGTCAAACTTTTTCTGGAAACATCAATTGATAGTCAAGTGAAAATCACCAATGCTCAACTCTACCAAGAAATACTAAAAGATGTGTAGCAACGAGCTCTTGCCACGGAAATACCCCAATGAACAATACCTAGCAGGTAGAAAAATGAAATCTCAGCGTTGAATCAGTCATCATTATTAAAGAAAATATGAGTAGTACCAACAAACTCTCCAATTCGTTGGAATGGAATATCATCTGGTGCGAAAGGTAGTGCAAGGGGTGAAACTCTATGAAAAATTTCTCTACTCTTTCACTGTAGCTCTTTTCCCCTTGATCAGGATCTGGTTTTGGAATGCCACGAACCAACACTGAAAACTGATCAGGTTGTGGACTCGCTTCCATCAAATAAGCTTGCCTCATCATTGATATCTCCCGATATTCCTGCACACATTTGATCGATATCTAGATCAGAAAATGAGTTGGATTTTTCTAATCATTTGGATGATCTTCGTCAACAATCAGCAAGAACTGAGAATGATAGAAGTGGGAAAGCAGCTGAACGAAAGTGGTAAAAATAAGTTAACGAGAGATTGGACGAACCGAGTAAAGAAGAATGTAAGCAGTGAAGGAGATGAAGTAAAGTACTGCTAGATGAAACCACAGCCTGTTACACAAAACGACAATACCACACATCACACGACACGCGCATACAAATGAGAAACTTGTTACTAATACCCACATAATGAATCAGTAAGAAGGACCATACCGTGGCGACCCTTGTGATATGTTAAGGATCGTTAACTTCTCCAGAGTCCCATTCTCTTCTTCTTTCCCGGAAGGATGGTCAGCAATGTATGTGTCATTGAAGTTGAGTGGTGCCAAAATGCCACACCCCACCAGTGTACAGATTGTGAAAAATCGTATGCTGCGCACAATGATCTAGTTTATCATGAGTAAAATTGAAATGAATCCAGCCACTTACCCTCAAGTATGAGGAAATTACTAGCAAGTTAGAGAAGACAAGTCTGGAGACAGACATGCATGAAGAAATGGAAGAATCGCGACTATGCAATTTTTTCGTATGAGAGTTGATTTAGTGCTTCAAAACCACGAAACTAACACGTGAGGTTTTATTCGATTCAAGTTTCAGAAGCCAGATGTAAACAAACTGCCTTGATTTTACTGAAACTCTAGGTACCACTTAAGTTTGATCGTAGAATTACTATCATTAACTTAAATACAGAGACTGTAACCCTGACACTGTTCTGAGTATATTAGGGTCCTTCAGAAATCATCAAGATATGCAATCAAAAGCTAGAACGCTCCATGTCAATCAAAATCTAGCGAGGGCATCTGCACCGAAACAATACTCATGAAAAGATCACCACGATGACAACTAGAAACATCAATTATACGAACCAAAATTTGAAAATGCGCAGAAACACAACGGCGTCCAGGCCCGCGGTCTCCAAGATCTCATCCTCCGACGGATTCCAAGCTCGGACCAACCATCCCGGCGACGGCAAAAGATTGTTCAAAGAAAAGGGCTCCCGTTTCACTTCCTTGCGCTTCTCGCGTAGCATCTGCCGCGTACTATAAACACCTGCGTTTCTGGGGTTCTTCCGAAACACCGAATACAGCAGCAAAAACAGGGTGGCTAACCCAATGTTGATTCCTGCAGACGTCGCCAAATCTGATATCTCCATTCCTCTCGCACTACAATTCATGGTCAGTTGGCATAATCAGACTCAAACCCTCGATTCATTCACTAAAATCACGCAGAATTGACTCGATCGACAGATTCCCGAATGCCGCTCACGACGTGCAACGCTGGTTGGCCAGGTGCTGTGACAGCATGGGATAAACACGTGGCACCAGGTGGCAGTCTATGGGAGAGCGAGCCAGTCAGCACCTTTAGAGCGAAAGAGGGCCGTACCCTGCCATCTTGACATTCTGGGCCCGATTCTCTCACTTTATTCCCCAACTCTGGTGATTCTGGATATTCAATCATTTTCAGAATTAGAACATTGATAGCCTCAAAATGTTTAATCTTCTGAAGGTGTTGGAAGGGGATTTCTATACGATATTCACAACCAAAAAAATGTTTTTTTGATAATCAATGGACATATATCAACGTTATTTAATTAATAACATGAATGAAAAAAAGTATTTTCTTTACTTTATTTATTTTTTAATATGTGAGTGCTTTCAATTGTAGCATATTCTTGTTTTTAGGGTGATTTATTTATATTTTATCTCTATTTATATTCATACTTAAATGAATTGTATGATTTTTTTAGTAGTGGATGAAGTATCTTTTGTCACAAGTATACATGTCTTTGCAAAAAGAATAACACTTTTGATTCCTTTGAGTGATTAACTTTAGGAAATTAGCATCCTTCATTTATTTACCAAGATACTAGAAAAAACCAATGGCTCTTAATCCTTGTCATCATAGTTCTACAAAAACAAAGACCCAAAAGGAGATCACTTTTTAGAACTTTTGAGTATTTTTTTAGCAATTTTTTTTTTTCTTTAAAAACTTTTATTCTTTGTTCTTCTATTTTTAGAAATAATTGTCACATTAGATTGAAGAGATTAGATTGATCTAAGGTGAATTCCAATAGGCATCAAATTAGAAGTAGAATATGTCAATTGTATGAATTTATTGGCAAGGATAGAAGGTCTTGTCATGTTAGTCCTTCCTATTTGATTAAGTATAAATTCCCCATTCTTATTCTTCCATTACAAACTAAAGGTTAATTGAGGTTCAACCAATTGGTCTTTGAATCCTATCCAAACACTCATACTAATTAAAAGTAATTTTGTTTTAGAATCCTATATGCTATATTGATGATGTATTACAAGATTGTAGACTTGTTCTAGTATATGGAAATATCATAAGTATATATTTATTTTAATTATTACTTAGATAATATGAATAGATAGAAGTAGATAAAAATAGATTAATTTTATAATATCTTCTAAAAACACTTCTTAGAAACTTTATAGAAATTTCTTTAACTTTATACATCTTTATAATTGATTAGTAGGTTAAAAAAACCTTTCTTTTGATAAGACATAAGCCTATTAGAAGTTGCAGATTATTTTTTTTAAATTGATATTATTCTATTTGTTTTCAAGTTCTTTTTTTTACTTCTTTTTAGTGATGTTATACATTTCTTTTCTTCTAAGTATTATTATCGTAGAACTGATCAAAATAAAGAGTGCAATGGCACAAATACAAAAATAATTGAAGAAATTAATGCTTGCAATGCATCAATTCAATTTACCATCACAAAGAGGAACGAGAATGATAGAAAGTGGAGATATAGAGATGATTGGAGCTACTTTAATATCTGCACCAAATCAAGTCCCTTTTCCTATGATAGAATACTATTTAAATACTAAAAAATCAAGAATTTCCTTACCTAAGAAATTTAATGGTACAAAATTAAAGTTTCAAGGATTTATTAATCAAGTACAATTGGCAATTGAACTTCAATTCTAAAATTATCCAACTCTAGGATTATAAGTTAGATTTATTGAAACATTGCATTTTAGTTCTACATTATCATGGTTTTTATCTTTTCTTGAATGATATGATCTAATATTGGATAATTTGGAAGTTTTTTTGGTAGAATTTTGATCTATATATTGAAAATATGATGCAATTTGTGTTGCAATAAATAAGATTTATATTTTATGACAAAAAAATCAATCTGTAATATTAAATGCTTTACAATTTAGACAACTTATGATAGATATCAAGTAGGATGATGATGCACTCATTAGCCAATTTTTTTATGGATTATAATATAAAATAAAGAAATTGATGCTTAATTTATCTAATCCTTAAACTTTGAGTTAAGCAATTGATTTTGTTGTAAAGTAAGATAATTAATTTTTTAAATTTTGGTTTGAAAATTACATAAGTAGGCCTCAATGTTATTATAATTTAATCGAATCACCAATGTCTTTTCAACTCATACCTTTGGAAGTAAAAGATATGCAAATTGATGCAATATGTTTCAAACTTCTTGTTGAGAAAGAAAAGACTTGTCATCATCAAGAAGGATTGCATTTATATTGTAGAGAATCAAAGTACATTATTCAACATTGTCCAAAGAAGCAATGTAATTATAAAATGAAAAATATAACTATTAAAGAAGACAATATGTAATAAGATATAGATAAGATATTTGTATTATTGACACATAAGGATAGATAGTTAAAACCATAGAAGTTTCTAGAATTAGAATTAGATAAGTGAACTACATAAGATCCACTGTAGAACATTCTAGAAAGAATTTAGGATAATTATTTAGATAGGGCCTACCATAGAACATTTTAAAAAAAGCTTAGGACTATTATCTAAGTAAGGCCTATTATAAAACTTTCTAGAAAGAATTTAAGGGGGTTATTTAAATAAGGTCCATTATCTAAGAACATTCTAAAAAATCTAGGATAGTAGAATAAAGTATAAATAGAATTAGCCAAGGCTTTTTGGAGCATCCAGTTAAATTTGGCTTTGGATCCTTTCTCTTAATACAATTGGATTTTATATCTTCTTATTTTGTTCTATTTTTTCTTAATTCCAGTTGCTCAGTTTTGTCTTCTATATCCCATTCTATTTAATTCTCTTCAGTTTTGTTCTAGTCTAGTTTGTCCTATCTTGTGATGAGATTTTATGTTGCTATAGATTAAAAAGATCTTAGATATATGAAATAGACTCGTCTTATTTCATTGGTATCAAAGTGAATATTAGATTGTTTTCTATTGGTAGTGTGTCGATGGTCATCATGTAGTCCAAGGTCAATTATTGTCGTCACATTGGGTACTATGTTGAGGCTACCACAAGCTACTCTCAAAAAGTCAATTGGGAGATGAAAAGACATTACAATAGTAGAGTCTAGCAAAGAAAATTATAGCATGGAAGATATGGGAGAATAATCCCAAATAGAGGTTCAAATAGAATATCTCTTAAGCTAGATAGCTACTTTGCAAGAGCAAATAGAAGCCTTGAGGACAAGAAAGTCGATATGTACTAGCTAAAATTGAATAAGACTAGTGCATACTCTGAGACTTTAAGACAAGAAGATGTATGTCAATGGCTCTTCAACATGCAATAATACCTCCAACTATCTGAAGCAAATATCTTTGAAGGAATTATATATACAACCAATTATTTGAAAGATGTGGCAACCATTTGGTGGCTACATCGAGTTTAAAGCTATGGAACTTAAGGTAGATTTGGTGATTTGAAGGAGTTTGAGACTGAGTTTAAGAATCAATTTTGGTCCATCAATATGGAGAAGATAGCATGTGATTGGTTGATAAATCTTAAAGGAAAAATTGAGAGACAAGGAAAAATTACTACCATTAGTAGTGTCATTTCAAATCTAACCAAATAGGTGAAATAGAAAGAAACTATACATTGGGATGCTTATTTGAAGATGGTTAGTGATCAACTAAAGGTAGATAATATATAATATCAAGATTACAATCTTAATAATTTCTTGCTCTATTTCAAGAAGCGGATTTATATACTTTAGAATACTATACTCCGGACATGCATATTTTAAGATAGACATGACATTTCAATATCAGGACATCAAGAGCGAAAGAAGACTTTAGAATAGATTTCAAGGATATGATTTTCAATAGGTTTGGATCGTAATATTTGAGCCTTTGAATGCTCCTACGAGTCATATCAATGTAATAAAGCATGCAATGCAATATCTCCTAGATTATTGTAGCTAATTTTTCTATCTATGGCACATTAAGAGCATGTTACTATAGATTTCATTACATCTTTGTCTCAAATACCTTATAATCATATTACGGTTGGCATCTTTGTGAATCTACTCTCGAAACAACTTCACTTGGCTATGATTCACTTAGATATTGATGCCCCAATATTTGTACGAGTCTTCTTTGATATAGTCTTTCATCACTATGGATATTTTTGTGCCATCGTTTTAGATCAAGATCTATGCTTCACGAGAAGTTTTGGCAAGTCTTGTTCAAGCTATTAGACATATGACTTCACATGTCTATAGCCTTCCATCTTCAAACAAATAGGCAAACAGAGCATATAAATTGGACTTTAGAAGATATGTTGTGGATATTTGTAGTGGTTTATTATAATGATTAGAATGAATACTTGATGCCCTTTGAGTTTGCTTACAATAATAGTATTGAAGTAAGTACCATGTATTCACTATTTTTCTTTAATATCAATCACCATTTGATTAAATGAACAACTTTCTATCGTTCCATCGATACTAGCAATCCAACCATGGAGGAATCTATACAACAGCTTATAACAGCCTTACAAGAGATACAACATTGCCTTCTTATTGTGCAGAATGGATAGAAGTAGTATGCACATAACCATCGACAATATAAGACCTTTTGGGAGGATAATCAGGTGTTACTGTCCAATGCCAACTTGTAACTTGCTACATCAATCGAAATCCATAAAGTAGCACCTTTGTGGCTTGGACCTTTTTACATTTTTGTAATGATTTTTGATCTTACATACTCTCAGGGACATAAATTTCAAAGAAAGAGAATCTTGAATACACTCTCTTATCATTGAAGAGAAGTAGAAAGTCACTTAAAAGATAATGTAATATTAACTAGAATGGCTTTTGTCAAAAATAAAAAGATTAGAAAGTCTTAAAACAAGACTAAGAACTAGAATGGCATTGATAAGAGTAAAGAAGGCTTCACTCTTGCCTCGATATATACTCTTAACTATGAGCTATGTGGCGATGTCTTTTA